CTGTTCAGCCTCCACAAGAGAAGGCTGAGAGGGCATCTGGTGGCCATCTATAAACTTGCCAAGGGGGACCAGCAGCAAATGGGAGAGTCCCTGTTCCCCCAAGCATTACCAGGAGTAACAAGGAATAACAGCCATAAGTTGACTAAGAGTAAATTCAGGCTAGATATCAGGAGGCGCTACTTCACAGTCAGGGCAGCTAGGATCTGGAACCAACTTCCAAGGGAAGTGGTGCTTGCTCCTACCCTGGGGGTCTTCAAAAGGAGGCTAGATGATCACCTAGCCGGGGTCGTTTGACCCCAGCATTCTTTCCTGCCCATGGCAGGGGGTTGGACTTGATGATCTGCTCAGTTCCCTTCTGACCCTACCAACTATGAAACTATGAAACTATGAATGTGCATTAATTTAGTACCTCACATTGGAGGTACTAAATTGAATGTGCATTAGGAAAAGCACATTAATGTATGTATAGATACCCCCAGTACGGCCCAAAAATCATCTTTTAAAATAGGCGTAGACAGTAAATAATGTGTAGTAATTGATAGTAATAAATTCAATACTGATGCATTTATTTGCTGAGTGATGCATGGGTGGCTGATATTTAGTCCAGGTACAGACATTCAAAAAGCCCGAGGAGGAATAGATCTAACATATGCAGGTTTCTGTAAGTGGCCTAGGTTAGATCGGTAGTGAACAGAACACACGTTCGCCCTTTGGTTGGGGACAGCATGCAGGCTGCCTGCACTAGCCAAGGCCACATTGGGGGCACTCCTGCACACCTCACAGCAGGCCCCATGGGCTCCTCAGGCTGCCGGAAGCACCTGGGCCATCCCTCATGGATGACTGGTGCCTCCTGAGTCAGTGACAGGGGGACAGTGGTCCCCTGCAGCCGATCGCGCCAACCTGGAGAGTGACAGCAGTGTGCCATTCCCCTGGTCAGCACAATCAGCCGTGGGAGAACAGCAGGGATTGCTTTTCCTGGTGCCCCCACTCCCTGGCCAGCGCTCTCAGGGGGACACCAGTGCTCTTGTCTGCCCTCCCTGTCCATCATCTAAGTGGGGAACACTGGCTGTCAGGGGGTGCACCAGTGATTTCAGGGAGTGCACATGCACCCCCGTGCACTCCCTATACGTCGCCACTGCCACCCTTGATTGGCTGCTGGGCACAGGCAAGCACACCCCCAGCTCACTGACCTACCCACACCCCACTTCCCAGTACTCTGGAACCCTGTAGCTGTAAAGCAAAAAAGTCTTGCAGCACCCCAGGTGTCTATGGCCTGGGTATCTGTGGGCAGTGGCCAAGCCACAGAGGTCCCAGGGTTGCCTTTGTGCAGGTACAGTCCTAATGTTCTGTCCCCTGCCATCCCAATCTACCAGAGGTGAGCTGTCTTGGGGGGAAGGGATGGGTCTATGCTGGGGCCCAGGTGGCAGGGTGCCTGGCTCTGCCCACTGAGATGTGTGGTGTGTGGGAGCCAGGGTCAGGGTCTGTGGGACTGTGACCAAGCACAATAGCATGGGGTTCCCTGGCTGGGTGTGCGGGGGTTGTGTCCAAGTGAAGGGGTTCTCCTGGGTACAGAGTCAGGCACATGTGGACATCACGGGGTGCTTCATGACAGGGTGTGGGGGATGGCCCAGGAACATGGATGCCCAGGTGCTGGGGCTCATGCAGGGGACACAGAGTCTCCTCCCCTCCCACTACCTGCCTGTAGCAGAAAGCTGGGCTAGAGAGCAGGTCTGCACTGGCTCAGCTCTGGAGCTCAAGGATGAGGCACGTGGGACTCTTGGCCAAAGCAACTGAGCACTGGCCAAGTGCTAACCTGCCTCCCTGTGAGGAGGAGTTGCAAAGGAGCCTGAGATGCCAGAGAACAGCTATCTAACTTAAACAAACAGGGGATCTAGTAAAGAAGTTTGATTCACTGGTCTAACCTAAATTGATTAGATTTGAGCACACACTGAATCAGATCTATCTTACACCAGGTTCTGCCATTTTTAGATTGGTCTATGTGCACCAAACTTCTGTACAGTTATGGGTGTAGAGTGATTTCCAGTCAGTTACATGGGCTCATGTGTAATGTCTGTACCTGTCCTTAGTTAATATTATCAAACAAAAGTAATTTTAAATGCTGTACACCTGGCACAATCAGACATATTCCAAAAGCACTTCTCATTGTATTTTTATGAGCTTGTCACCTTTGCAAAGAGCACTAAACATTTTCTAAAAAAGATGTTCCCTTAAAAAAGATGTGCTTTAGCAAGTACTAAATAACTGTGCAATATCCCCCGGTACTGCACAGTCCCGGTGTACACCAATCATTTTCAACCCTATTGCACAGTAACAGCGGCACAGGCACAGTTAGTGCCTGCCAAAACTACGTCACCATGGTGACAAGCTACATCACCATAGCTCATCACTATGGTGACATAGTATCTCATGTAGACTCACCCAGTAGTTACATTGCATTTAGTTAGTACGTCATTAAGCAAGTACTAAACTAAATGCGCAGTAACTACTGCACATTAATGAACGTGTAGACGTACCCACAGACATTAAAAAAAATTTTCTTATAAACTTTCTTTGGATCCCATAGTTAAGGTAGACATTAGTTTAAAAACAAAAGAAATCAATGCTTGGGGGAGAAACTGCAACTTCTTCTAAATAATTTTAAGTGAAGCTGTAATAAAAGTCATTAAAATTCATCAGTACCTTAAGCTTGGATATACAGAAGCATTTCTCACTTGCAGATGGCTTCTTAGAGTCTTTCATGTTGCTTTTTTAAGTAGCCCAGTGTTTCCTTTTGAATATTTCTAGTGATCCCACTACCCTATGAAAGGAAAGAAAAAAAACCCCTGTTGATACTAGAAAGGAATAGAAAGGATGAGGGATAAATAACTGCCATTTAGCTTTCAGCTATCGTGGGATAAATGTGTGCACACAGGCAGCTATCACACAGCAGCTGACATGTAGTAAAGCCCTGCTTCTTTTTACCCCATGGTAAGTTGTTTGTGTATTCATGTATTGTTTGGATTATTCAGTACAGCATAAAAGCTTTTTTCCTGATGACTTTTTTTGTCCTATCCAGTGTAACTCTCTGTGTTCCTTGTAGTCAAATAACTGTTATTTAATGTTTTGAATTCTATGAAGAGCATTTAAGTTTCCACTGAAGTAAATGAAAGGTTTTCCATTAATTTTAGTCAAACTGAAACAGGGCCTAATCTTTTGATTTCAAGGTTTCAAGTTGCTGAAAACAAAAAACAAAGGGCCTACCTAAAATACTAAAAAACTGAAACCAGAATTTTTCCCTCCAAGGTTCAAACAAATTTACTCAACTCTTCTTGCCAAAACTCTCACTTTCACTGGCATCCAGGAACCAGACACTGAATGCCCCCAGCAAGGCATGTCTTGTTACTAGGATTTCCCCCAGCCAGGGTACCCAGGGACACTGGGGAACTAAGACGGGAGATGCTGCAAGATTTGCCCAATCTCTACAGAAGCATATATGTGTCCTTCCTGACCTTGCTGAGTTTGGAAAGTTAAAAAATCTGGTTTTGTTAAGACAAATGTTCCCAACGTGTGATCCGAAAAGACGTCATTCATTCTGGGACAGCAATAACCTGGGGAAGACCCCCAAGCCCTTCAGATTTTTGAATCAAGTAGAGTAACCTGCCAAACAGAATTCTGGACCTAAAGGGATTTCTAAGTTCAGGATTGCTATAAAAATGTTGAAAAGGCTTCAGTAAATCAAGATATACAATACAGCTACCTGTTCTTTGAAGGTGAAGGAATATGAAGAAAACAAGGGCAAACCAAAGTGCAGCCAGGCCCTACCTTACAGCAGTAATGATTGATTGTCCTCTTTTTGGCCTCCGATATGGTGTTTCATGCTGAATTGTGGATAACCTGCCCTGCAAATACCTGCTTCTCTCAGCTTATCACCCTTTACAGGTTCACAAATAAAAACTGAATTATCCTCAATAGCCCCTCAAGTGGCTCAGAATTGCTCTTTCACATTCTTCCTTCCTAACCCCACAGGGGCTGATTTCTTAGGACTGTAATTTCCAAAGCAATGTTAATCCTTTTAAGTGCATTTCTTCATTAACTTGAATCCTAGCAAATTCAAAAATATTAACCCCTTCTACAGTCCAACTTTCATCCCTTCACTTTCAATCTTTAAAAATTCAGTTTACCATTATAAAATTAAAATACTTAGGTCCTTGTTACACATTAATTTTAGGTGGCTCCTGGAGCTCTTAACCCCTGGATTAAGTACACTTTAGACATCTTAAAGTCACATCACTCCAGGGAATGTTTATCTGTGATCTCTGTATTACTCAGCTCATGTTCCATTAATTCATGGCCACTCCCCATAAATGAGTTGTCCAACTTTCAGTCCTCCAACATCCCAGGATGCAATGTCCCCTTCCCCACCTTCCTGTTCTGTGTGGATACACTTTATATCCTCTGACCTCTACTGCCCAGGGGGCCATTCTTGCACCAAGCCAAATCCCCTTCCTGCCTCCAGGGATGTGACCTTCCCACCCCCAGGACTGCAAGTGTACGCAAACAGGCTGCAGAACACATGCTAACTAGCCAGGCTGAAGGGCAGGGACAGATCCAGGAGTGGAGTCTAGGGGGAGTGGTGGGGAGGGTGGGGGACAAGGAAGAAGGCTGTATCATGTCCCCATGACCTGAGGCTTCCTTCCCAAAGGAAGGGGCAATATCTCCCTCAAAAGTGCCTTCCCTCACCACTCCCACCTCCAAGTCACCCCAGGAAGCATGACCAGCAGCCCCCACACTTCAGTCCCAAATCCCAGTTTATTAAAACATGAGACCTTCTTTAATTTACTTCCTCTTTATTTCTTTTAAATTCTTTAACTTCTTTTTATTTTATCCTTCAGTGGTTGACTTTCTTCATTTCACTGCCCTTTCCCCACCACTATTTCCTTGTTATCTCCCATCTCATTACCCAACCCCATCCCATTAACTCTTTGAGTCCCAGCTTCATGTTCCTATCCCTCTCCTCCCCGCAACCCATCATTCAGCTAGAGCAGGGATAGAAGCCTGTCTTAACTCACCAGCCCCGTAGTGGCAACTCACAGATGTCAGGTGCTTGCTCACCAGCCCTCTAGTGACAAGTCACAGCTGTGCAGGTGGGAGACAGAGAAGATTTTTAGCAGTAACACAGATCAGCATTTGACCAGCTCAAACAAGGCCTTTACACCAATGAAATGTTAGTGATAGACCATTTTTGGCTTAAAATATACCCAGCATTTTTGTAGTATAAGTACTGTTTTTTGTTTGGTAAGGAAGACCTATCTACTTAAAAAACTATTTCACTACCAAAGCAAAACTGTGTTTATTCTGCCAAATATTGTTTCCAGTTTGACTAAAAATGTAAATCTCAGATCTTCATGCATCTTAATTCTCCAATTTATGCAGACTCTGGCACTCCTAACATACAAAAACACTAATAGCAGTGGGGAAAGGAAAACAGCTTCCATTCAGCTGGTATGTCCCTCTTCCCCAAATGCATGGTGGAGAGTGAATGCAAAGGGATGGTTGCACTGGCATAACTATTAAATTGTTGCCTCTGGAACTGGAGGAAATCAGAAGACAAATTATGACTCCGCACTCCTGATTAACTTGTTAGTCTTGGAGCATCACAACTATACTCTGTCCCCAGCAAGTAATAAAATGGGAATTTTACCTTTCTGGAAAATTTTCTGGAAAGTTGGTTTTAAATCTGTTTTTGTGTAGGAGGTATGATCAACTTGATGACACAATTGATTTTCAACTATACATTTTCCAGCAAACTTCTTGAGACAGATTGGATAGGTGTAATGGATAACCAACCTGTCTTTAGACTGCCTTTGGGGCCTCTAGATTCAGTACTTGATTATATGGAACTTGAGCTAACATAAGCTTATAGACCCAGATCCTCACAGGTGTTTAGGTGCACAACTCCCATTGAAATTGAAGAGTCCAGCAGAACAAGAAAAATTATTAGAGGTCTTGGAATTAACATTTATGGGGAAAAGCCTGAAAGAATTAGGGTTATTAAGTATACAAAGAAGAAACTGAGGGGTGATTTGATAACAACCTAAAGGGTGGCTATAGAGAAGATGGAGATGAGTTTTTCTCTGTGGCCACAGGAGACAAGACTAGGAGCAATGGACTCAAGATGGAGCAGAGGAAATTTAGGTGGGAGATTAAAAAAAATTGCTGACTATGAGGGTGGTCAATTATTGGAACAATTATAGAGAAGCTGTTGAATCATCATCCTTGGAAATCTTGAACAGCAGGTTGGACCGACACTTGGCTAGAATAGTTTAGTCAGAGACAATCTTGCCTTGAGCAGAAGGCTGGACTAGATAATCTGAGTAGGGTTGTGCGAAGCTTAGGTAGCCAATTCAATTCAGAGCAGATTCAGCATGAATCGGCAGCCGAATCTCCAAATCTGAATTGAATTGGGAGACCCACTAAAAGGTCTGAATCAAATTGGAAGCCTCTGAATTGATTCAGAGAGATTTGGAGATTCTGAAGGCTTGCAGCAAACAGAAACTAAGATGGAGTGGGATGGGGTGATCTTCCATATACAGAAAAGGTTGAGAGGGGGGAAAGACTGCTCTGTTTTTGACATTTGTAGCTGGCCAGTGACTGTGATCTTTCTCTGCGTTCTCTGCTGTTTTCATCCCACTCTTAACACACACAAGTGATACAAGTTTTGCTTTCAACAGTTTGGGGTGCACTTTCACAGAAACCCCTACACCTATCTCCTTGAAACCTGGCAGGCTTCATGCCCTCAGAAGGGGCTACTATCCCTGCTGTTTTCATCTGAATCTGCAAAAAAATGACAAAGTTAGAAGTATTTGAGTGATTCCCCATTACAGTATATGGCCAAATCTCTGAATCCAAGTTGGCCAAATCAAATTGGGACAGTCATTTGAATCACTGAACCGAATCACTGTCCCTCTGAATCAGCTGAATCCAAATCTGAAGTGAATACTTGCTGCTTCACACAGGTCTACTTTTGAGGTCCCTTTCAGTCCTACTTTCCCATGATTCTATGATCTTTTATGTATCTAAATGCCTTTGAGGCTATAGGCAACAGAGCACTTTTTATAACTTTTTATGTAAAGGACAACTTTCAAAACCCACTTTCTGTCCCCTCATTGGATGATGTATATATATAAATTTGAATTTGCACATATAAGCAAAAAAGTGAAATGCAAATTCTAAGCAGCTTGAAATTCATTTTTGTCCATATGGGTTATTGGAATTTTTTCCAAAAAAATTCTATGCTTTTTTTGGATTTTATGTATGTTTTAATCTTCAAGAAGGGTGGCAATGATTGGGAAGGTAGTCCATTTGGTTACTTGAGAAATATCACCTGTGTCAGTTATGATTCTTTCTGACTTTGCTCCTTGATACCTCAAAACATGTTTGTTAAATGATCAAAGACTGAACTTGAGGGCCTGAGGTTGTTGTATTTATAATGAAGATGTCTTTATAAGAAGGAAGTATTGGTCATTTAAATTAAATAGCTCAGTCAGTCAGACAGTCAGCTGTAATTGCCAAGCCATGTGATAGCATCCTCAGTGGCCCTGTGCAGTTCCTGTAATCCACCACTGAACTTAGCCAGTGGGCAGTCATCAACCATATGTGACATGGGGTGTGTTTTGCCACAGCTACAGTCTGGTTATCACAAGGACCCCAATTAAATAGGTGATGAAAAATAAACATACATGTTTTAGGTAGCATGTCTAGAAATCCTTTTCTGTTTTGAGTATTTGATTATTGTTCCCCTGACTTTTAGGATCACAACATTTCACTGGTTGTCAAATCATCCTAAAGTGTTTCTGAATTTTAATTTATAAAAATAATAATAGCAGAATAGAAGAACTGTTAAGGTCTTATCAAAACTAGCTTGGTGTTTGTTTGTTTTTTGTTTCTTTGTTTGTTTTTGCTGGGGCAGGTTGCTCTGTTTCCCGGATGCTATTAAGGCAGTGCTGTCTGGAGGATGGAATTTTCCTTTTGGAAGCATTTTGAGTAGGACTGTGCAAAATTTCACTGGCTGTTTCAGTTCAACACTGCTTCGACTCATTTCGAGCTTGAAACAGTGAAATCAAATCAAAAAGAAGGGCTTCAAAACAGCCTTGAAACAAAATGAGACAAAATGTTTTGAAAGTTTCGAAACATTTAGAGTTCTGAAGCAGCCAGCAATGAGGTGGCAGGAGACAGGGGAGAGCTAGGGCTATGCACCCAGCAGTAGCCAGGAACACAGCCCTGGCTCTCCCCGTCTCCCACCACCGGGCTATGGGAAGCTGATCATAGTGCAGGCACTGTGATTTGGCTTTCAGTTCCCCTCCCCAGCCCTACAATCAGGCTGGGGATGGGAAGCCAGCCCAGCTGGCCTGAGTTCCCATCCCCCGCACTACATCAGGCTGGGGATGGGAAGTCAGCCCATCCCCAGTGCGAGGATCAGCCTGATCTAGTGCAGGGGATGGGAACTCAAGCCAGCTGGGCTGACTTCCTATTCCCAGCCGGCGCAGGGGATGGGAAGTCAGCCCAGCTGGCCTGAGTTCCTTTCCCCAGCATGATGGTCAGGTGAAATGTCAAAACAGCATTGAAACAGTCTCCCTGTTTCAATGAAGCTAAACAAAACAGCTGTTTCAATTAAGTGAAATGGAACAGCTGTTTCGACTCAAAATGAAATTCAAAACAAAACGCTGTTCCATCCAAAACTCAAGTCAAAACAGAACAGTGCTGTTTCACACAGCCCTAATTTTGAGCTGATGAAAAGGGATATAATTCCCCAAATCAGAAATAAAATACAATTCAAAGTATTTTAGAAAGTACATTTTTTTAAAATTCATGTTTCAACATTGCCAGACTTTTCAGTTTTCCTTCAAAAATCAAACATGGTATAATCAACCTATTTTTGTGAGATGCTTTAATTTCAACAGACCTGCACATTCCAACAGACTATTGTTTCACTGAGATGTCTCCAGCCAGACAGGACCTAGCATTAAAAAGACCTAGAGTTACAACTCTCAGGATGAAAACAGACATTTTTTTTGTTGCCTTTGTGCTGCCATAAACATTTTTATGGTAGCACAAAAGCCAAGCACACAGACATCCATACCCCTTTTTGCACTACAAACGGTGCATCTACACATGTGATTTACTATGGAGTAGACTAATTACCTCTACATAAAAGCATCATCATCTCCATGTGCACCAGTATTAGGGTGTAGTAAATTAATTACTATCTTATGGCAGAGTAATTAACTGCACTGAAACACACGTGTACATGGAAATCCCAGGGACACATCTCAGTAAGCAGGGAAGCTGGGCAGGCATTCCCAGGGCTTGATGGGCCCAACACTGAGAAGGAATTCCCACGGTGTTCAGAACTGGGCTTCTCAAGGGCTGGACGAACATGGCAGCCGTTGTCCTGCAGTATCACAGGGCAGGACAACAGGAGATGGGTGCTTTGCCCAATGAAGTGGATCAACTGTGCTAGGACACATCCTAGCACAGCTAGCTGGTCCAGTTCATTTGGCAACATATATTTCTACCTCAGAAACAACATTAAAGTGAGGACTAAAAGATATTTTTGTTGCTTCTCCATAGGCCAGCAAGAATACTATTCTCTACCTATCCGCTCACCCAGTTTGTATGAACAATTTGAAGACTTAATTCATATGTTTGTTTCCAAAAGTTATTTCCTGGTTTTAAAAAAACTGCCAATCATATATATAGGTAGTTGCACCATTGGTGAGAACTTAGAGTTAATTTTTTCATTTAAGTGAAAGAAAAAATAACTTTCTGTTTTACTAAAGGCAATTTAAGCATCGCTAATCATACGCAATTATATGGGGAGGGAATTAATATTAGGAGCATTATAATGGAAAAAGTTATATACTTACTGGGTTTGCCGAGTGGTCTGAAAATGTGTTCCATAATTTTGCTTTAAAACAGACTTTGAGCTTTATCTTAACATGGAATCTCTTATGTTGAAAATTAACCCATGCATATTTGTTATAGAGCTTTCTTTTGCCAAACATTTGCAGTTTCAGATTCTACTTAATTTTCATTTAAAAAAAGAC